GCGTCCGATCTCATGCAGCCAGACTATAGTGGCGTTATGAGTTCCTGTGGGGTTAATAACATAGGTCTGTCCAAAGTCCAAGCCATCTCCACTACCTACATAGAGTATGAGAGAAAAATTGTTAAACAATTTCGACAATATAGAATAATCATGAATAATTATTTGATAAAAATAGTCAAAAACTATGGAATAAACATGAACAATCAAAACGACAAAGCTAATGTACTTTCCGATAGCCTTGCGAAACAAGCTATTAGTGTAATGTTGGTTCCTTCAAGATAATATTAAATTATTAATGAAATGATACCTTTCTGATCAAACAAACAAAAAGTCAAAACGACGAAAAAACAAACCTGATGCCATGCTTTGATGTGATTTTTTTTTCTAAATTATTTCGAAAGTTTTTAAGTTGCACTAGAGATTGAAAAAATAAGAGAAAGCAAGGAAGAATTGGATATTTATACAATAAATTAGTGTTCACCATTTTAGTTACCCAACAAAGAAGCTTTTTGGGAGAAAATTTTTAGTATTAAAAGCATGAAAAATCATTAAATTGGATCATTAAAAATCAGTTAATTACAAAATCTTATTTAATATTTATATATTTGTTTCCCAAATTAAAAGCGCAACAATCACAAAACTTTATTTGGTGGAACATAATTAATAGATATATTAGATGTCCAAGAAAATCATATATCTAAAAGAAAATGTAACCTCTGTTGCTAGATAAACACCTCTCAAATATGATTTTTAACTTTATCGATTTACTAATTAATTTATTTAATATTGTTATTTTTTATATCAAGAAAAATACAAATTCCTTTATAAATTAAATAGGGAGCACCTTGCCTAAATCGGGAAATTTTTACAAAGTAAATTAATAGAAAAATGTTATAATCCAAAATGAATCTTTGTTGTTTGTATGGATATTAAACTGCATAGTTAAATCCTTAAGATAAAAAATGTCGTTTCACCAAATTTGCATATATTTTCAATTTCACGAATTAACCCTTTAATAACACATTTTACTGATATATAACATAAAAACAAAAACAAAAATTCAGTTTTTGAAGGTTTTAAACGAAGAATACATTAAGTATTAATTATGAATAACACTAATAAAAAAAGAGAAAAAAAGCGAAAAATAAAATTATTAGACTTTATAATGCATATACTTTACAAAAAAAACAGAGTTCTTGTGACAAAAATTTGAGACTAATAATTTACATCACAAACTTATGATATTTTAGATATTGTACCGTGACAAAATATTTATGTCTCAAATTCATAATTGTTTCGTCACAATAATGTGACGGACAAAATCGTAACTAATATTTGTGCCAATTAGTGACTAAATTGTGACAAAAATAGCAATCGTGACAACTGTGACGGTATTATTACCATATGTGTTGTCACTATATTTAACCAATTCATGACGAGCTCGCACGTATCGGTTTGTGACGATATTATAACTAAAAATCAATAACTATTTGATAATAATCACACAATGGCAGTTATGAGCATTAACAAACCTATATAATTACCATCCAATTAATAATTTAATTGTATATTATAAATTAACTTAAATAACACAAATTCTCCAGTGTCACTAAATCACAACAATCTTTTGTGATGATTTAAGACTATATTTTTGTAGAAATAAGTGATGGAATCGAGACGTAAAGAAAATAACAAATTACAACGATTTTGGGACAATATTTCTAGTCCGTAATTTTACAATTTTGTTACTAGTATGTCTCGTCGTTGTTTGTCAGATATTGTTTACTAAATAGTTTCGTTATTACAAATAACAATTTGCAACGACATTATTGTAACTGTTTACAAAGTGTCACAAAGTTGTCACAGTATTTGTATTGAAAGTTTTCAACGCAGAATACATTAAGTATTAACTATGAATATT